TGTGTGTGTGTGTACATAGTAGAGCAAATGGGGCAAAATATGAACAATTGGTGAATTCAGGTGAAGGATAGGATGTGAAACTTCACTGAAGCTTTGACATTGTTTAGAATAAAAACTCGGGAGAAAAATATATAGAAAAAAACTATAAGGATTTTCCTGGAGAAGGAAAAGTTTAAATAACAAAATGTAAAGTGGCTGCTGATGTGAAGGAGATTAACAATTTAAATAAAGTGATAATGTAAAGTGTCTTTAAAAGAATACACAATGAAAAGGAATTCCTCAAAGAGGACTGAAAGCATAAATGGTCAGTTAGAAAAAGATCACATGCTTTAAAAAGAAGAGAAAATCAATATAATCACATGTACAGAAGAAAGAAGAAAATCATATCATCCTTTAAATACATATACATATCCATTGATAAAATTCATCATTCACAGCCTGACCAAAATGGTAAAACCCCATCTATACCAAAAATACAAAAATTAGCCGGGCATGGTGGTGCATACTTGTAATCTCAGCTACTTGGGAGGCTGAGGCAAGAGAATGGCTTGAACGCAGGAGGTGGAGTTTGTAGTGAGCCAAGATTGTGCCATTGCACTCCAGCCTGGGCAACAAGAGCAAAACTCTGTCTCAAAATAAATAAATAAAACAAAATCACTTTCTAAATACCAAGAACAGTCAAAAAAACCATTTTTAAAAGGATACCATTTGCAATGGCACCATAAAATATCAAGTACCTCTGAATAAAACTAACCAAATGTAGCTTGATGTCCTATCTTGGATATTGAGAATATTTTTTTTTCTCACTTTCCCTGGAAAACATCTCTCCACCCTCTTTACAAAGTGCCCTGTTTAAAGCCTTTTTATGTGCTTGCCTGTTCTGCCCCAAAGAGAGCCTTATCATCTTAGTCAGGTAAATATGTGCCTTGTCGGAGTATGTGGGCAGGAAAATTCACTGCTCCTCAAGGCTTCACTAGGCAAGGCCACCTATGTCATTTCCGCAGCCCCTGAATGCATGATTGGGATGGACATACAGACGCTCCCTAACATACCGTGGTTCACTTGGAATTCTTTCACTTTACCGTGGTGGGGAAACAATACTCGTTCAGTCCCAATTGTACTTCAAATTTTGAATTTTGATCTTTTCCTGGGCTAGTGCTGTGTAGTAGGATACTCTCTTGTGATGCTGGGCAGTGGCAACGAGCCGTGGCTCCCAGACAGCCATGGCATCACAAGGATAAACAAGTGAGAGTCTACAGTGTGCTGTGCTGCCTGATGACTGTGCCCAGCTGCAGGCTGATGTAGGTGTTCTGAGTGGGCTTAAGGGAGGCTGGACTAAGCTAGGATGTTCAGTAGGTTGGGTGTATTAAGTGCATTTTTTTTAACCTATAGTGCTTCTGAGCTTAAGGACCATTAAATGCATTTTTGACTTAGAATATTTTCAACTTACAATGTGTTTCTTGGGAGGTCACACCATCATAAGTTGAGGAGCACCTGTACTTGGCAGTTGGAGTAAACCCCCAGGTCCTTGGCCTGTGGAATAAGAGCTATCACAGTTGGGTAGGCAAGGTTGGAGCACCTGAAACTACGTCTCCACATACCTGTTCCTCCACCAACCAAGAGGATAAATTAAAGACAATATCACATTCTAGGGGGTTGATGGGAGGAGACTAGTGCCACTCTTAAAAATTTGAAGGATGCAGGGGTTGTGGTTTCTACTCTTCATCATATCTCCTTTCTATTTGCCAGCAGGGCACGGAGACTAGATAAAAATTATGGAGAATGACTGCACATTATTGCAAACTCAGCCAAGCAGTAGCCCCAATTACAGCTGCAGTGCCAGGTGTGGTATTGTTGCCAGGGCAGATTAATAAGACCTTGCCTACATAATATATGGCTGTTAAATGGGGGGAATATATTTATTTTTAAGCAGATCATGAAAGAAAATCAGAAATAATTTGCATTCTTATGGAATGGACACTATTCTTTATACTTTTGCCTTAGAACTATGCTAATTCTCCTGCCCTCTGTCATAACTTAGTATGAACAGATTCAAACCATCTGATCATCCTGCAGAGTATCACAGTGATCCATTATGCTGATGATGCCATGCTGACTCAGCAGGAGGGGCAAGAGGTGCTCCTCAGTGTGGCCCAGTACACTGAAGGCCTGGGTAAAACAAGCGTGCTGGTGAAGGTGGGAGACAAGCTCTGTGAAGATCAGAGTCCTGCCATTTTGGTAAAATAGATGGTGGCTGCTTTCTAGACACACTCAGCAGTGGCCTTGAAAGAGCAGCAATAAAAAATCTTCTCATTGGCAGCACTTTGAGTAGCACAACTGGTCATCCACCTTCTGTGTTGGGAGGAGTGAGGTGCATGTATACATAGAGTTATGAGCAATGGTGAAGTGAATGGCCTCGCTAGCTAGCTAGGAGTCTGAATGTATTAGAATATCTGAGACAAAGGAGATATGGGATAGAGGCACATAAATGGATTTAGGGAGTGAATACCACTTGTTATTTTTGTATCACGTGTAATGTCCACTAAGAAGTGTCCACCCCAGAAGAGGGATTGAACAACCAAGTAGGCAAAATGACGTGACTGGCTGACATTAGCTAGTTTTTGTCATCAGCCACCTCACAACAGGCACAATGGACTCAGGAACAAAGTGGACACAGGGTCAGTGATGGAGGCCATGTATGAGTCAACAGCAGGAACTCCCACTTACCAAGACAGATTTAACTGTTGGTCCCTGGCATAGCTAATCTACTCGCAGCAGAGAACAACACTGAGCCTCCGATATGACACTATTCCTTGAGGAAACCAACCAGCCACTTGGTGGCAAGTTGACTTCATTGACCCCCTTTCATCCTGGAGGAGCCAGAGATTTGTTCCCACAGGAATAGAGTGCCTGACGCACAGGCATAAAATCCTGTAAGTCAGGTCACCCAAAGAGCAGAGCCACACTACAGTGAAGACGTGCAGGAGTGGGCACGTGCCCATGAGATTGACCAGCTGTATTACACTCACAACCTCCAGAGGCAGCCAACTTAGTAGAATTGGAGTATACTGTTGGAGGTGCAGGTGAGGTGCCAGCTCAGGGGCAATTGTCTGCAAGCATGGGGTGCTATCCTTCAGAATGCAGTAGCTGTGCTGAATCAGAGATTTCCATGTGTCACTGTGTCTCCAATAGGATCCCCGATTCAAAAGGCAAAATCAGGTAGTGGCCCCACTTACGTTCAGTAACTCACTGGAGAATTTTATTCTCTCCATCCCTGCAACTTTGGGGAGGTTGAAGGCCCTGGTCCTTTAAGGCAGTGCACTTTTGTCAAGAGACAAAGCAAGGGTCCTGATAAACTACAAGCTATGACTGATACCTGAGCATCTTTGACTCCTTATGTCTAGGGAGCAGCAAGAGTCGCTGTGTTGGCAGGGTTCATTGACCTTGATCAGCAGGTAGGTAGGGCTGCTGTTCCACAGTGGCAGCAGGAAGGATATGTGTGGAACCCAGAGGACACGCTTTGATGTCCTTGGTGCTTCTTGTCTAATTGTAGCTGTGAATGGACAAAGATAGCAGCCCTGGCCCAAGAAGGGTATGGTCACCAGGGGCTCAGACTCCTTAGGAATGAGGATTGGCGCACGTCCAGATGGGTGGAAGTGTTAGCTGAGGGTGAGTGGAATTTCAATTGTGGACAAGGGACATGATGAGTCCAGTTGTGGCCCTGAGATTATTTGCAGTGTCTGGGGTCCAAGAGGACCAAACTGACGCAGCTTTGATTCTGACACCATGGAAACGAGGCAGCTACCTGAAACCTCACTCACAAGTGGTATGTCTGTTGTATTCAGGAAGGAGTCATTTATTTCTAATCTTTCTTCCCTGTTACAAAAACCTAAATTATAGGTAATAAAGAAGAGTAGAGTGTGTCAAAAAGTAAAGCCTCAGTTTTCAATTATTTCCTACTTGGAGAGCTCACAACATAGGTATGAGGCTTTCTTCTTCCTCCCCCTCTCTTGAGCATAATAACAGCTCCGATAAGATGAGGCACACTCTCTGAGCATGCTAACAAAATATGCTCACAGGAGTGTCAATCTGGGCTGTGAAAGTTCTGACAATCTCAAAATGCTCTTGCTCCCTAGAAGCAAACCACAGAGACCTCTCTTCCCCCTCCTCCTCACCCTCCTGGCAACGAACCTCAGTATTATCCAAGCAGGATCCACAGAGTCACAAGTGCAGTTTAAGGAGCAAAAAGTGTTTAACAATAAGAGCCTGCATTTTTATGATGAACTCAGGAAGGAAGCGTTTTACAATTAATTTTCCTCTCAACCTCCCCTTTAGCTGTCATTAAACAGCGGTAGCAAAATTATCTTTTCTTTATGAAATAAAAAATAAAACACAGCTGGGTGCAGTGGCTCACATCCGTAATCCCAACACTTCAGGATGCCAAGGTGGGTGGATCACTTGAAGCTAGGAGTTCGAGACCAGTCTGAGCAACATGGTGAAATCCTGTCACCACAGAAAATTAAAAAATTAGCCAGGCATAGTGGTGTGCACCTGTAATCCCAGCTACTTGGGAGGCAGAGGTGGGAGGATTGCTTCAGCCTGGGAGGTCAAGGCTGCAGTAAGCCATGTTAGTGCCACTGCACTCTAGCCTGGGCAACTACCCTGTCTCAAAAGATAATTTCTTATCTGTCAGGTAAATGACTTGGTCTGGGTAATACAATCCGTGAATAGACACAGCAGAAATCTCCTGACTCTGAATGCCCTGCTTCAGTTACTGCTGCTGTTCCAGAATCATCTTTATGCATGTGTTTCTGTGTATACTCCTTGTTCCTTTTTGAATCCCCACGGCATGGTGATTAACCAAGTTCCTTGCCAGAGGTCTGAATTATTCAATCGCTTTTTAGTATTTACCGTTTGTGACTTTTTTCTATATAACTTTGCTTTTACCATCCCAACCCTTAATATTCTCTGCAAAGGATAGGTAAACACTTTTCTAGTAATTTTTTTTGTTTACATCATAGTTTATTTTATTACAGTCAATAAATATACTTTTACATATAAAATCATTATAGAAGACATATTTTAAGGCACTAAGTCTCAAAAGCAAAGGAACCTATTAGACTTTGCTCTCTAATTTGAAACATTAAAACATGAGAGGTAAACCTGCCAACTTAATTTTGAGTTTGCAAGCTTACATTTAATAGAATAAATTAGGTAGCTTCAGAAATCTCAAGTAAGGAAATTAACAGGCTGAACTAATAATCTTGACATGGCTTGATTATCACTTAGTCTATACTGATGACTCATTTACCTTTTTATTTATGAATCTAAACTGACTGACAGTAGAGCTGTTAGAGGTACAATAGAGCTATTCACTGATGAGAAACATCTACTCATTGTCTATAACTCTGGACATCACATCTTGCTTTAAAATGCAAATTGTTCATGTCTTGAGCCTCTTACTGAGCAGCGCATGTGTATCTGTGTACATTCCATTTCTCTTTGTGCTGGGATTTTCTTTGGAGTCAGTGGTGCTGTCCCTAAGCAGTTCTACGTGTGCTTCTTTCAGCATCTGCAAAACAGGCACACAAAGCTTCAGTGGGCATCCACCTCCAATCCCAACCAGCCTCCACAGGACTGACTTAACAAGCCCACATACAAACAAAGGACACAGAAAAACCAAACAAAGCAACACTGCTTGCTCCTTTCTAAACCTCTCCTCAGTATCTTCAACAGACATTTAAAATGGGATGTCAACAGAAAATCTGGGACTCCGAGTCAACTTTTCATAAAATGTGTGCCAACTTTGCTAACCCCAAAGTGGGATTTCTTCCACTGAACACTTTTTTTTGTTTGTTTTTGCAGGACTCTTTTTAATGCTTAAGGAACCAGTTTTTACAGCTTCTGTCTTGGCCTTGATAAACTACTCTTAACATCAAAGAATAATTGATTCCTATAATTGGTTTGTGTGGTTAGACAAGACAGAAGCCATGCCGTTAGCAAATCACTTGCTCTCATTCAAACAGCCTGATGTTTTCTAATCATGGAAGAAGACTGCTGACTCCACTGCATGCGCAGGCAGGCTCGAGGCACTGAGTGTTCCTTTATGCATCTAACTCGTAAACAAACAACAAATTATGCAACAAAGCCTCTGAAGTTTTTGCCTTTCTGTTTCCCAGCCCAGGGTGCTCTTTCTCACACCCTGGGCAGCTCAGGAGAGAATGGCAAGGCCCTCTGCTGGAAGCACATCAAATGCAGAAACTAGGCCAGGCAGTGCCAGACGGTTCCCAGGCCCTGCTGCCATTCGAAGCTTACATCTTAGTTCATTTCAGAACCAAACTCTGGCGCTTCAGAACCTCCCTGCTAATGCTTCTGCTGATTGTAAAAGCAGTGTGTGAGAATTGAAGGCAGTGTCAGGCAGCCCTCAGGAAAAACAGGAAGGAGCTTAGGGAGCTTAGGATGTTTTTATCATCTCTCTATATATTTCATAGGCCCTCTTTTGCAGGTCCCCGAGGTTGCCTTTGGTATGGGAATGATCTTGTAAGAATGGTTCTTTGGCTTTAGTCTTGTCAAATGATATACTTGCTGTGGAGATTTAATTGTGCACTCAAAATTGCAATAATAAGCCAACCTAATACAGGCTGGTATTGCTCTAATGGTCATTGCACAATTTTTTGAAAATTTGTATTCCTTTTTAAACATTCCTCAAATTTCAAACTTTCCCCCTAAAAATAAAGTAGCCGACTCTTACCTTTGTTTTGCATGGGGTATTCTCAGAGGTCACACTTTCAGTTTTGGTTCCCGTGGCTTCTTCTAAAACTAAATCAAGGAAGGTGTTATGGAGAAGACAGAATAACATAAAAACCGTAAAAAACAACAACAACAACAACAACAACAACAAAAAAACCTTTTTGGTATCTTAGCAACATCTTTAATGAAGAATAGAAGGAAATGTAATGTGTTAAAATAATGTCACTATTAAATTGCTTTAAGACATTTTTGTAGTATTTCGCCATTATCATTTATAAATGGCACTAAGCCCATTATACCTATGCCTCATTCACTTTATTCAAATTCTTCTGGCCCACTATTACTAATGCTCAAGCTCTGTGTTGATGGAGACATAGAGTGACAGATTGCCCCAAGCTGCACTCTCTCTTCTATCCAGCCCTATGATACCAAAGGACACACCTGCTTGTGAGAATGCTTGCCAGGTCTGGCTGTGAGCATATTCTCTGAGTCCAAAGACAGTGACCGTATTATGAATAACTTATGTGGACTCTCAAGTTTCCAAACATTCACTGTTCACTATCTGTTTTGTATGCTATATTGATTCCTGGCTTCTCGGCTTTATCGTAACCCCAAAAGGCTGAGAGGTGAGTAGAGAAATTGAATCTTCTCCCTCCCTCCCTCCCTCCCTCCCTTCCTTCCTTCCTCCCTCCCTCCCTCCTCCCTTCCTTTCTCTATCCCTTCCTCCCTCCCTCTCTTTTCTTTTTTCTTTCTTTTTTTTTGAGAGATAGAGTCTCACTCTGTCACCCATGCTGAAGTGTAGTGGCATGGCTCACTGCAACCTCCACCTTGCAGGCTCAAGTAATTCTCCCACCTCAGCCAAGTCCCAAGTAGCTGGGAATACAGTAGCACACACTACCACGTCCGACTAATTTTTGCATTTTTTTGTAGAGAAAGCCTTTCACCGTGTTGCCCAGGCTGGACTCCAACTCCTGAGAGATCCTGATCTCAACTCAAGCTATCCACCTACCTCGGCCTCTCAAAGTGCTGGGATCTTAGAGGCATGTGCCACCATGCAGGCCTGATTTGTAAAAATACAACTAAAGCAAAAACAACAATATCTATCATTTTGATTACACGTTATGCTCTTCAACATGGTTTTACAGTGCTAATTTACTTTCTAATCCAACATATGTTCATAAAAGAAAAATAAATTAACCTGCTTACATAACACAGATAAACAAAAGATACATTTTTTTGCTAGACCATAATTCTGAATAACAAAAGTCTTCAAAAGTTAAATAGTAATAAAACAAGAATATTTTAATATTTTAAATATTTTTAAAGAAAACAGCAAAAGAAAAAAATTAAAAATTAAGGCTGGGTGCAGTGGCTCACATGTGTAATCTTAGCACTTTGGGAGGCTGAGACCGGAGTTTTATACCAGCCTGGCCAACATGGTGAAACCCATCTCCGCTAAAAATACAAACAGTAGCTGGGCATGGAGGTGGGTGCCTGTAATCCCAGCTACTCAGGAGGCTGAGGCAGAATTGCTTGAACCCGGGAGACAGAGGTTGCAGTGAGCTGAGATTGCGCCACTGCAC